TGCAATCCTAGTGACAGGTTACCATGGTGGCACAAAAAACTATCATAAGGGTATTGCCTATTTGAAAAGAGAAACAAAACTCTCTAAACTACTCACTGCCTTTGGACTGATTCTGACTCATAGCTACCCTATAGGAAAGAATAGAATGGCCTCTCTAGGTTTCTGAGACTGTAACTCTTCACGATGGGAGTAGAAAGTTTCATCTTTCTCCCACAGGTTCATCTTCGTTCCTCAAAGTGACATCGTTGTTCTTTAACAGGAAGATTTTCCCAGTGCAATAAGCCCTTGAATTCTGAACTGCTGTTTCCGTGGATGTTGATTATGTATCCACGTAAAAGAAACTCCTTAGCAAGCACATTTGTTACTATCTGCAGATTGTTCATGTTTCTCCAATGGGGATGGCAAGCTTTTCTCCCGATAGTTCAGCTTCCTGACTGTTTGCACATAGGTTAAAAAAGTGTAGTGAAAGGATGCATTTCTGATGCACACCTTTCCTGATTAAAAACCACATAGCATCCCTTAGTTCTGTCCTTAAGACTGTCTCTTGGTCTATGTACAGGACTCACATAAGCACAATTCTTATGGAATTCCCATTCTTCACAATGTTATCCATAGTTTGTTATGATCCACACTATTGGATACTTCTGAAGACATAGTCAACAAAACGCAAGTGGACATTGTTCTGGTATTTTTTTCTTTTGGCTGCAATTCATCTGGTATCAACAATGACATCCATTGTTCCATGTTCTCTTCAAAATCTAGTTTGAATCTCTAGCAATTTCCTGTCCGTGGAATGCTGTCACTGTGTTTGAATTACCTTCAGCAAAAATTTTAGTTATGGACGATATTAGTGATATTGTTCAATAAATGTTGCATCCTTTTGGCTCACTTTTCTTTAGAATAGGCATATAGATATTGTTAAAAAGAGATTGAGCTGGAGAAACATAATTCATTCATTTAATGCATATTTATTATGTGGGTAAAATCAGAGAAATTTTACTTTGACATACATAGGGTCACCATGAGTCTGAATTT